TTGTTGGTTTCAGTTGTGGGTTGAAGCTGTGGGTCGAAGCTGTTTGTTGCAGTTGTGGATTGTGGGGTTCAGTTTTGGGTTGCAGCTGTGGGTTGTGGGTTTAAGTTGTGGGTTGTGGGTTTCATTTGTGGGTTGAAGCTGTGGGTTGCAGTTGTGGAATGTTGGGTTCAGTTTTGGGTTGCAGCAGTGGGTTGAAGCTAAGGGTTGCAGTAGTGGGTTGCAGCTGTGGTATATAGGTTTGAGTTGTGGGTTTGAGTTGTGTGTTGAAGCCGTGGGTTGTGGGTTTCAGTGGTGCATTGAAGCTGTGAGTTGAAGCTGTGGGTTGAAGATGTGGGTTACAGTTGTGGGTTGTGGGGTTCAGTTGTGGGCTTCTGGTTGATGGTGTGGGTTTCAGTAATGAGTTAAAGCTGTGGATTTCAGTTGTGGGGTGAAGCTTTGGGTTTCAGTTGTGGGTGTAAGCTGTGGGTTGTGCGTTGAATCTGTTGGTTGAAGCTGTTGGTTTTAGTTGTGGATTGAAGCTGTTGGTTTCAGTTGTGGGTTGAAGCTCTGGGTTTCAGATGTGGGTTTAAGCTGTGGGTTTAATTGTGGGTGTAAGCTGTGGGTTTTGGTTTTTGATTGAAGCTGTGTGTTTCAGTTCTGGATTGAAGCTGTGTGTTTCGGTTGTGAATTGAAGCTGTGTGTTTCGGTTGTGGATTGAAGTTGTGTGTTTCGGTTGTGGATTGAAACTGTGTGTTTCGGTTGGTGGTTGAAGCTGTGAGTTTCATTTGGCAATTGCAGCTGTGGGTTTCAGTTCTTGATTGAAGCTGTTGGTTTCAGGTTGGAGTTAAAGCTGTGGGTTGTAGTTCTTGGTTGAAGCTGTGGGTTTCAGTTGGGAGTTGAAGCTGTGGGTTTCAGTTGTGGGTTGAAGCTGTGGGTTTCGTTTGTGGATTGAAGTTGTGGGTTTCGGTTGTGGATTGAAGCTGTGGGTTGTGGATTAAAGGAAACTAGTCTTTGTTCAGTATGATATAGGCTTGCCCAGGCTTTGAGTAACAGAAATAAATTGTATATATAAATGCCACAGTCATCGCGCAGGACTACATGATTGAAGACCAACTGAACACAGAAGAGTTGAGGTAAAATCTTATTTTTTTAGCAACTGGATACACGCCCTTCATCACTTCTGTTCGGTAGTAGACAGTAGATGAAAGCAAAGACAAGACCCCGTAGATCGCCGTGGATGGCATAAATCTGATCTAAGAGATGTGTAGAATGTATTATCCGCATACAGTACAGTAGATTTAGGTAGCTGTTGGAGACCCCTGTCGGTGGTGACGATTAGAAGTCTTCTCAGCTAACTCACAAATTGATTTGATAGAGATTTATACTACCAAGAGCTATCTAAAACAGAAAACTAGTATAAGCTGTCCACCTACGAATTGTAACTTCCTACAGTCATGCGTGTCCACTATTGCAAGAGTCTGCAGTCAAAACATTTCACTAGCTTCAGTGATTCTGACCATTGGATGTCCCGGTCCCTGGTCGTTATTCGATGTCCCGGTCCCTGGTCGTTATTTGATGTCACAGTTTTACTGTTTCTTCAGTTCAATGTCACGGTCACCCCAGAAATGTGTTGTGTAGAACATTAAGTGGACACAAAGTGAAAATGAAGTGAAACTTTCTCGTTTTAACTCCACATGAAATCACTATTATGACGTCTTTGCATGCCGACCCTATAAATAGGATGTCACACTTCCCAGATAGAAGAGTGCCAAGTTTCAAATGTTTCGATGTCAGCAATATTCCAGTGATTTGACGGTGGTATCTACATTACTTCTATGAACATGTACATGATCACACACTTACTAATATTCAATATTATATAGTTCTATTCTATGGGGAATTTAACTGGATCAGCGTTGTTATGTGATAATAATTTTCCATCGATATCTTCCTTGGTGGGTCTGTCAATATTTCACATTCAAGAGCACATTTGACATAATTCACGGAAACACGTTGACTGAATGTCTACATGTACATACAAATTGTAGACAACCATTCCATGGCAAGATGTATTTTAGCCATCATTTACGTTTGGGCTTGTTCCGCTGTTGGCTGTGTTAGAGATGAAACATTAACAACGAACAGCACAGGACACAGCTCATACCACACAAGAACAAGTCCAGTGTGGCCCTTCGGTTGGAGCTCCTTGTTCGGCTGCTTGTAAAATCTGATATCTCACCCCACAGCTAGTAAATACATATTCTCTACTGAATACTCGGGAATACTTGTTCTCTGCTGAATACTCGAAATAGAGTGAGTGAGTGAGTTTGTTGATCACATGATGGCGGTGGTGAGGGCGATGATGGATTCTGTGGTTAAGCTGGTTTCAGGAGGGGTTTCAGTGATGCGACGGCGGAGAATTTGCAGAGTGTCATCTATGGGTACGTTGGTGAAGAGGTCTACTACATCGTAACTGATGATTTGATCTGGATTGGTGATGTTCTTGAGTTTGGAGCAGAAGTCCGTGGAGTCAGAGATGAAGGAGTCGGCTGTTTTTCCTAAGGGGGCAAGGATTGTGGTTAGGTGTTGGGCCGTTTTGTAGAAGACAGTGTCTCGGGAGCACACAAGTAGACGGGCTTTAGGAGGGTTCTTGTGGATTTTGATGGTGGCTCTGGCATAGGGTGGCTGGGGGTGATTGATGGAGAGTTGGTGGTGAAGAGCTTGGCTAATTTCAAAGTTGTCTTTAAGTCTTTCATGTATATCTCACAAAGGTGGGAAGAATCTCCCGCATACATGCAAGCAACACACATATATGACACAAAGACAACACACATATATCTCACAAAGGTGGGAACAGTGCCCCGCATACATACAGGCTACCCAGATATATCTCACAAAGGCTACACACATATCTCACAAAGGTGGGAACAATGTCCCGCATACATACAGGCTACATAGATATATCTCACAAAGGTGGGAACAGTGTCCCGCATACATACAGGCTACACACATATCTCACAAAGGTGGGAACAGTGCCCCGCATACATACAGGCTACACATATAGATCTCACAAAGGTGGGAACAGTGTCCTGCATACATACAGGCTACACAGATATATCTCACAAAGGTGGGAACAGTGTCCCGCATGCATACAGGCTACACAGATATATCTCACAAAGACGGGGACAGTGTCCCGCATACATACAGGCTACACACATAGATCTCACAAAGGTGGGAACAGTGTCCCACATACATACAGGCTACACACACATATCTCACAAAGGCTACACACACATATCTCACAAAGATGGGAACAGTGTCCCGCATACATACAGACTACACACACATATCTCACAAAGGCTACACACATATATGTCACAAAGGCTACACACATATATTTGAGAAAAGTGGAAACAGTGTCCTATGGCATACATACTGATTACAAACATATATATCATAAAGGTGGTAACAGTGTTCTTCCGCATATATACTAGGTACAAACAGCGATAAATGTTGCTGTAAATATTACCACAGATGGTGATATATTTTGTGTAATATAAATATATAATATAAATACTTAGAGAATTCTATAATAGCAAATATAGACTATACTTGATGAAATAAGTTATATTTCTTAGCTGGTGGAAGCAAGACTCCACATTAAAATTGTCTGACTTATGAAAAGAATAGATTGGCGTAGAGGCACAGAACACTTTTACAAATTGAGGCACATGATATTTTTACAATCCTGGAACATGAATGCCACAAAAGCCTTCCCATATTCATAAGAAATCTCTTCAAAAACCAGAGTCGATTGTAGTATTCAGACTATATCATGAGCATGTGTTTATGAATCACTATCAAATAGTGGTGATACCAGTTGCTTGCGAAACGATGAGCGCACCCTGTCCTACCGGTTGAACCCGTCACAAACGCATGCAAAGGCATGTCAATTATTCACCTGAAAAAGAATCATGTCCACAGGAGAAAGCTGATTCCAACTTTTCCGAGCAGATAGAAGAATTTGTGTCCGTGGAGATGAGATTTATTAACAAGCACGTAGAGAGTGTTATCCCAAATATATATCTAAGAACTAAGAAAGTGTTATCCCAAATATAACATATGTTACATTTGACCACTTTCTAAATGGCATTGTGTATTCATAGCTTTCGGCCATGGGAGCCGTGCCAATTTACATTTGTCATAGGGGTACTCAAAGTACGTGATCTAGACTACCAGTTGTCGGACTTTCATTTTTGTGGAAGCCTCGGTGGCTGAGTGGGTTGGATCGCTGACTTTGTGTGCTGGCGATTAGGTGCTTCACTCTGGCAAGTGTGGGTTCGAATCCTGGACGGGAGTCAACTCAAAAAGTACTAGAATCTGTACTTTACTAAGAAAGTGTTATTCCAAATGCAACATATGTTACAAGCACGTAGAGGACGAGTTTTTATATTTTCATAAAATTATGAGCTGTGTTATTTTTTCAAACAGATCCTGTCCCGAGTTTCTAGATCCACAGCCCCTTCCTGAACTGTGGTTCCCGTGTAAGGTCACACTGACATCGGCTAGGCTTGCCATGAACTCAACTTGCCTAAACGGGGACTTTATGCAATCACTGATGCTCTGATATTTCCACTTACAATTCATGTAAACTGAACTAAACCATAATCCTTGCAAAGTCAAACGGTTCAAGCTGACATTCTTATTTAGGATGTTTAAGTAAATCGGCGTGTTTGTTGGATCCACCATAAATTATTGTAAGATAATGTAAATATGTACTATCTGTTTAAAGTACACTATATTGTTTGAGTGCGTTTTACGTCCTCCTTTTTGACAATATAAATTCACAAACGTTAGAAGTATTCCGGGCATTAAACACAATATTCTGATGAAGCTGTTAGTCATGTTTGCTGTTACGATGCCACATGTACACACAGGAAGTACTTATAGAGCATCTGTTTCCCTGAGCTGGCTTTCGGCCAAACACTTGAGTCGGGCTATGATATATATATCCCGCATCAGTGCAGCCGTACACAGCAAACTGCGCCATGGAGACGGTATCAACAGTAATAGTCATCGGTCTTGTGTCGTTTTGTGGTGTCAGTGTCGTACATGCTGACACCAGTTTGACAGCTTTCAATGGCCGACTGAACCTACTAGAGGGAGATATCAACGCATTGAATCAAACAGCTGTTAATCTTGAGACAAAAACGAATTATAAATTTAGCACGCTGGAGTCATCACTGAAAGAGAGCCTGACTAACACGTTCATTCCTGCCTTGATAAAGGGTCTAGTGAAACAAGCGATAACTGACATCCTGAAAGAAGGTTACAATGAAGATATGATTAGCAGCCTGACCCAAGACATCCATAGTTTACAGCTGCAGCTGAATGAGACGGTAACTGGTCTTCGTGATGCAAAGATGGTGAACACTGTTCTCAGACAGGATCTGATGACACTGAATACAAGCTGCGTGAAGATGAGCCAATCGATTGAACGACTCACCAATAATAAACAATCATGCAGGGAGGGCTTGCGGGGAATGCAGCAAAAGTTACGCACTGACATTCAGAGTTTAAACAATCAATTAAATCAGACCATTGATGATCTGCATGACTCAAAGCAAAGAATCACTGGTCTTACGGAGGACATGATGGCACTGAATACAAGCTGTGTGATGAGAGAAGGGTTTGAAGAGAACGATGTTAATGAAACGTCGCTGTCTACATCCTCGTTGACGCAAGTGCCATCCACCACATCGCCCCCTATGTTTCCTGGTGCTGCAGGAGGTGAGACTTTTAGCAGAGATTTCTTATGATTATGGAAACGGTTGTGTCGCTGAATTTACAACCGTCTCTCTTAACATGCCCTGTGATAGATGTATGAAATATATTATTTCCTTAGAAAAAAAAGATAAATGTATGTCATGAATTTCAAACAATATATCGAATGCATGCAAAGGATATGCCTTCTGCCTTTAAAAATGTGTCTGAACTTTCTATTTTTAAACGTGGAGACCGTAAATTAAGCTCATTTAAAAAATTGGGTTAACAGAGCATATCGACATAGGGTTTACAGGGCATGTCAACATGAGGTTTACAGGGCATGGCAAAATTGGGGCTTACAGAGCATGGCATCATTGGGCTTATAGGGCGTGTCAACATGTCGACATAGGGTTTGCATGGCATGTCGACATAGGATCTGCTCGGCATGTCAACATGTGGCTTACAGATATGTTTTCATGGGGCTTAGGGGGCATGTCAACATAGGCCTTACAGAGCATGTCGAGATAGGGTTTACAGGACATGTCAGCATACGGCTTACAGAGCATGTCGGTTTTCTAACGCTCTGTAGACATAGATAAATATTCTGTTAACTGGTATATAGCAGGTATAGATACCGTTCCGTACACCTGTATAGCTAGCTGGCTTACCCACTAAGAGACCAAGCAGAATAATATTGACTCGTTTAGGAGAGCCCAGTTGAGTAACATTTAGTCCCGTAAATATAGTTATCTTACAAAGGAACAGACAGACAAGAAAAAAATCTTTTTCATTTCACTCCCGTCTCCGACGACTTTTCAAATTAATGAGTAGGCACGGTTGACCCAGTCGTTTTAGGCGGCGCAGTTCGCTGCGCAGAGATCGCCGAATCCCAGCACCATACCATACTTCGGATGTTCCTCCTACATCAAGCTGACACACCGTGGTATAACCGAAATACTGTTAAAAGCGGCGCGAAAAATAGTTATTCAGCATATCCTTTTTGACGATCCTTTATCGATAAATTATAAAGATCATATTTCCCAATCATGTTTACATGCTTACTACATCAAACTTCAGTTAACCAACGAGTCTTTAACCCACAGATTTAGCTCCTTCTTTACGGACTTAAGTATGCACATGTGCTATTGTTGTGACCGAGTTAAATACCTGAGCGTATTCATTTACAGTCAAATTCCATGTTCAGTAAAGATTTTGAATATAAGCAATACGAAATGTAACAGCGACAAGGCAACACTTCATGGCCGAAATGTTTTAGACATTCAACATTCAAAATGGTGGCTATCGTCGCGATAGCTTAGGTGCTGTGTTTGCTTGTGATAAGGTTAAGTAACTGGTCAGTTGTTATCGGTAATTTTCCGATCAAAACACAAATATGAGTTCATGGTCTGAGGGTTTTTAATGAACCAAAATGATGTCTCAGGGCAAGGGCCAGGCACATCGGGCTCAGCCAGTTTAAAAATATGCTCCCATGGTAAGAAGTGCAGGCTTGCAGTCAAAAGATCGAGTCCTTACAATCAATATACCCGTGAAGATCCGGGGTAGAATAGGTCTTCAGCAACCCATGCTTGATGTAACAGGCGACTATGCTTGTGGTAAGAGACGACTAACGGGATTGGGTGGTCAGGCTCGCTGACTTGGTTGATGCATGTCATCGTATCCGAATGGCGTGGATCGATGCTCAATCGATGCTCATGATGTCAATCACCGGAATGTCTGGTCCAGAGAGCGGCGTTAAACAACAAAGAAAACAAACAATCTTACAGACAATAGATGGAGTCGTTACGTTACAGTCAATAGATGGAGTCGTTACGTTACAGTCAATAGATGGAGTCGTTACGTTACCGTCAATAGATGGAGTCTAACCTCGGTCACTCCAGTTGCCCATTCGATGACGAGCCTGTCCTGTCCAGTTAATGGTGTTAATGGTGTATTCATGGATGGACTAAAGCTTAGTAAAGTTCATGTGAGCATCAAACCTTGTATGAGTGTGCGCCAGCACATGAATGTCTCGGAAGGATGAACGGTCGTCGGACCATTCCCTCCAGGACGCACATCACGCGACTGGATTTGGCAAGGATAAGAAAACAGGTTTGATAATGAACGACGCCGACTGAAGCTGCGTAACTCAGTCAGTCAGTCAGTGAGTTGTGTTTAACGCCGCTTTTAACAGTATTCCAGTTATATCACAGCGTGTCAGCTTAATGTGGGAGGAAAGCCCGAAGTGATGCAGGTCTCAGACGTTTACCACTTTGGTGAAACCCACGAGCACGGTAGGTGCTGACAAACCTAGAAACATAATCGGGGCGAACCGGGAATCAAACCCACAATCATAGGTTTCTGGCATGCCCAAGGGACGCAACTCTGCACAGCGAATTGCGGCGCCTTAGACGACTGGGCCACCCGTGCCCCCAGCTGCGTTACTGCCAAATATGTGGACGTATACGTAGCAATATGGCCACCAGTTGTATGTGAGCGACAGGTGAGGTGAGGTGAAATTGGGTTTAACGTCGCGTCTAAGATTATTACACTTATATATAGCGACGTGCATGCATGTATACTGAGTCAAATTAAAAACTTCACATTTTCAAAAGTAATCCCATATATGATAAACAACGGACAAATGTATCAGAGAAGGTCATTTTTAATCATTTATGTCCAAAGAAGGATTTTAATTAACGGTGGTAAACATAATTTGTTCCAAGCACCTACGGTATTCGGTAATAACATCAGCAGTTTAAATCATAAGTCCCAAGCACGAGAATCTGATGGTTTAGTAGCGTGTATGGCCACCATGTGCGTTGACAACTGCCACACAACGCCCCCGCATGGACCTTATGATGCTTGTGAACACATGATTGGGAAGACGACGCCATTGTTGGTGCAAAGATCTTGCAAATTCTGTGGTTGTGTTCTGGAGAGTGCGCAGACTTCTGCCAAGAGCATCCCAGACGTGTTCGATTGGATTGAGGTCGGGAGACCTTGACGGCCAGTCCATGACGTTGACTCCCGCATTCTGAAGGACATTCTTTGTCAAAACTGCTGTGTGGGGTCTGGCATTGTCGTGTTTGAAGATCAAACCGGGTCCATGTGCTGCCATAAAAGGCAGAGGTTCTGGTGCCAGTACCTGGTCGCGGTAAGCAGCAGCGTTGAGGTTGCCACGGATGACAAGAAGCCTGGAACGTGCATTGCCACAGAAAGCACCCCACACCATGACACTTCCGCCTCGAAATCTGTAAACTTCCTGTACACAATACTGGGCGTAACGTTCATGACGGCGCCTCCACACCCTCGCCCTACCATCAGCAAATCGAAGATTAAATCGGGATTCATCACTGAAGACGACTTGATTCCAATTCCTCTGAGGCCACCGTAAGTGTCGCTGTGCCCATAATTGACGTTGACGTCTGTGTAATTGAGTCAGAATGGGCCCGCAGTATGGCCGTCGTGCTTGAAGGTGAGCAGTTCTCAAACGGTTTCGAACAGTTTGCGCACTGAGTCTACCCCTAAACAGTTCATTTCTGGTTGATGTAGCCGTCTGTAAATCATAAATAGTCTACAACCCATCGTCCTTGCGACTTCAGCTACGAACGTTCCTGTCTGCAACATGCCGATGGCACGTTCACGTTGCACATTTGAAAGGCGTGGCATGACAAATGGTCGTAAAGACTTTTGTTTTCTTGTGGTTTTTGTTGTTGTTAATAACTGTTAACAAGTATGGCTGAAAAAACGATTTTGATCGATTCACCTGCACAAAACGGGTGTTGTCAGACAATACGTGGCCATTACTGTTTAATACACAATAAGGGCCCACAATGATAACTGGTCAAGATGTTAAAATTTTAGGATTGTGAAGTTTTAAATTTGGTTCAGTGTATGTGTGTGGCTGCTTGTACTATTCCGGACTGATGCCGATTTATAGTGCTAGCTCACTGAGATATCATGCTGCAGTTTAACATGAATACCCCACTCAGACACAATATACTGACTTCGAGCCGACCAGTCCTTGTTTTAGCCCGTTTATGCCGAGAGCGCCAGACTGGGTAACAACAAGTACCATCTTTAACGTTTTTTGGTATGACGCGGCCGGGGATCGAACGCCGGACCTTCCGACCTCTACCACTAGACCACGGAGTCGGTCGTGAGCGACAGGGATGGCGGAATAGAATGTGCGTGTGTACTAGTATGGTAAAAGCCAATGGAGCTATTGAGAATGTGACCTTTTAATATCTCACTCGTCTATCTGGAAAAAAGAATTAGGTAAAGAAACTTGCATCTAAGCATTCTCAAAGACGTTAAAAGTAGGTAGTTGTTGTTACCTTGCCTGCTGTTAATTTATCTTAAAACGTCATTTAATCCCACTGTTGAGGTTTAGTTAAGAAATAAAGTTTGCTCTACCCCCATGAAAAGTATAGTGTTGCCCTTAACTATTATAGTTAAAGCATGAGGACGCTTGCGTTGCTTTGACGTTATAATAGTTCAGGGCAAAACTATACTTTATATACGTGCGGCTAGAGCAAACTTTATTAATTTTCTAAGATGCAGAATTTAAAAATGATCAATTTTTTGTCTTGGGGATGGGTTTAAAATCAAATCTGTATTAACATGCGGTAAATTGAAAATCCTAACAAGCTAACAGGCTAACTGACGGGCTGGTCCACTTGATTGCCTGTATACCCTTACGCTCAGAGACATATTTACGTTAACAATATAATAGAACACGACTAAAATGATTAGTTTATTATAATAGGTCCTATTTTCTTATCCGTCCAGGGGCGGTCGGGTAGCCTAGTGGTTAAAGCGTTCGCTCGTCACGCCGAAGACCCGGGTTCGATTCCCGACATTGGTACAATGTGTGAAGCCCATTTCTGGTGTCCCCCGCTTTGATATTAATGGAATATTTTGCTAAAAGCGGCGTAAAACCATACTCACTCACTCACTCATTCACTTATCCGAAGGATTTTGAAATTATTTTTTTTTATATCAGCGGCTATATGACGGTGGTCTGTAAATAATCGAGTCAACACCTTGAAATCCATTGATTGATATCATGAGCATCGATCCATGCTGAAGACATATATATAATTAATTCATAGGGCACCGGGGCCGACGCCTGCATGGAACAACTTTGTGACTGCTGTCGCACGGTTAGTTTGGTTGGTTTGTTGTTTTACGCCGCACTCAGCAATATTCCAGCTAAATGACGGCGGTCTGTAAATAATCGAATCTGGACCATACAATCCAGTGATTAATATCATGAACATCGATCCACGCAATTGGGATCAATGACATGCATCAACAAAGTAAACGAGCCTGACCACCCGATCCCGTTAGTCGCCTCTTACGACAGGCATAGTCACCATTTACGGCAAGCATGGGTTGCTCAAGACCTATTCTACCCCGGATCTTCACGCGGACACAATGCTTTGTCGCAGGATAAAGTATAGTCGGTGCCTTTGATCTTTTAGCAAAGCGTCTTAGAATAAAAATAAAGACATATTTTACGCACGACGATGAGGTAGGTTTCTTTAACCAATGAAGTAGGCTTAATTTGTTACCTCAACATACAATCTGAAACGAAATCAGGTAAGACGGTAGTAAGACTTGTAGATCTAGTATCACTCCACACTGTATTATCTTAGAGTGATCGGCACAAGCAGCCGAGCGCCAAACTATGCCATGCTCATAACCAGACACGTCACACTGACGTCATAACTCGCCCCTTCGCTAGTCAAGACGTTTCTTGACTGGCAGTGAGATGTGTCACTCGTGTTAGGACTTAAACGGTGGTAAGTTTTCAGTTTGTACTTCAGGATTTTGTTAGGAAGTTAAATGACACTAACATTGTAAATATATCAAGATTGATGTACAACAGAATACATTTTGAAGGAATCGGGTGCTTGCTTCACACACAGGACCATGTAACAATAAAAATATAATTGGCCTCGTCTATGATTTTTTTGCGAGTTTTATTATATTGTTATTGTTTCATGGTCTTGTGCTTCACACAATGTTTACACCCAGACGTTTGTTTAGCCTGTCACCGGGGATAACAAACGTCTGGATGTAAACATTCATACCTCGTTTCAACTGAAAAGCTTGTTCTATTTTAATCAGTTGTTCTATATTGCAAAATATATGCTTGTACGTTTCATCTCTGAACTAATAAGAATTATTTACAACTGAGACTGAAGACAATATGAGATTATTCGAAATCTGTTCAGTCAAGTGTCGGATGCGTTTTTTCGCTCATATTTTTAAAACGTTGTTCTGCATCATGGAATGGCCAAATGTTTCAGCCATATTATTTTTACACTCAAGGCGTGCAGCTTTGTTCTTCTAATCCGGAAAATATTACGTGGAACAGTTGTATATCTGCAGGACACTACATTGTTTTTAAAGAATCATTGGCAAGGAAATGTAGAATATATAAGGGCAAATGTGCATGATTCTCGTTGTTGTATGAGTAAGTTGGAACGGACGTTAAATGCGAAAACAATTTGGCGCGTTTCACACGGGCAATCGGCATTTCAGTCTTATCACTTTATAGAGCCACATGTTTATTCCCTTCTTTACACAACCAAACACCCTATCAAACATCTTGTAGATCTAGTGCCGGCGACAGTTTCTGCCTCAGATAATAAGCTGATCTGTGATGGGTGTACTGCCGCCATCGCTTGGAATGCTGAATTATGACAGTGTTGCAAAGAGTTTTCCGGACACTGAATTACCACTGTGTTGCACACGCGCTTAGTCAAGTAGACCTGTTGCTCTTTTACATTCATTGTATATCATCATGAAAATGTCATCACTGAAATATTAATCTGTAGCATGTCGTATATCGACGTTTGTAATACTGTGTAGCCTGAGACACCAAACGACGTAAAATGCACCAGTTTCAGAGTCTAGTTAAGAGAGTGTTTGTATTGGGGAGGATGGGGACTAAAACAGCAAGCAAAGTCACTTGGAACAACAAATAATTTACGATAGGTCACAGCACTCTACATTTAGTAGCCTGTTATCATCAATTGGCAAAGGCAATATGTACACAGAGAAACCATCAATACAGTTGTCGATTTGACGAAGTAACAATTGTGTAAAATGCCAATTGTCCACAGACGTTGAAATGCACGAGAAATATATTTTCCTCCAGAATTACAATGGTGGGCGTCATATCCTGGTCAAAATATATATAACGATGTGCATTGATTCTCACTCACAACAAATACCTGAGTATTATTTAAATATACAGTAATAACATAGCAGGCAATGAAAATTAGAAAATAATGTTCTGTATTTGACCTGTATGAGCGGAGTAGGTTTGCTATTCACAGTATTGTTACTCAAATGCAGATATTATGCAACAACGCACCAACTTGCGGGGACCATTTCATTGTCATAACGATTCCACCCACAACTAACGAAGTCAGACTTAAATACTAATCATTCCATAATTGGGAATTAAGGGGAGGTAGCTGATCCAAAATAATAAATGCACATATTCTGTGTATTCTGTGTACAGCAATATAAACTAACATGTTTCGTCCTTAGTCCTCATAATGATAACATATAAAACCCTAAAAATGACATATGTCTACAAGCCTAGTCGTTATGATATCTGAACTACTGGAATTTTTTGCAAGGAATATAGGACGAGTGCCAATTTCTATCGCTGATGTAGTAATGTTCATTTATGTTGTATGTTGTATGATAATATTATTTATGAGAACAAAATAATCTATTCAGTTCCTGCAACTTCAACCAAGAGAAGAGATATATCTCAGCAGTTAGCATAGAGGCAGTGTGCAGCTTAGGTTTATTCAGGAAGTGATTAAATAAATAAAAGCAATCTAAATCTAATAAATATATGTGATTTCCAAAATGTGTCAGTCACCATGCTATGGTATATTAATAATACATCTACTGCAACAAATGTATTATAAGTTATGTTCATCAGTGAATAAATTTGAAAGTCACACATTTGTTGAAATGTTTTTTTTTTGGCAAAAGCTTCTCTGAGGCCAGTAGTTATAATGTTTACCTGCAACATATAGTTTTCTGAACAGCATATATGGGGGTTTTGGGTGGTGGGTAGCCTAGTGGTTAAAGCATTCGCTCTTCGCGCGGAAAAAAACTGGGATCGATTCCCCCACATGGGTACAATGTGCGAAGCCCATGTCTAGTGTTCCCCGCCCAGATATTGTTGGAATATTGCTAAGAACCTGTAAAACCCAACTCACCCAACCCAACTGAACAGCATATTTTGTGTTTCAGCCTCGAACGACCCGAGTCAGGGAGAAAGGGCTGCACAGATGACGACAGTGACGACCCATGGTAGGTGGGAGAAGCCAGCAGGTGGTAGATACTGTCACTGTCCAACTTTGTACGAGATGAGGTCACATCAACATGTAACAAATATATGCCTGAAAGTTCACTCCAAAAACCTTCATATGAACAGTCTCTACAATAACAAGCTGATAAATGTAATCTCTTATTATCCTAATAATTTGTAACAAGTCAATTGTATTGGCAGTACCACCATAAGGCTCAATCCAACAAGCCTGTACAGACGCGCGGCTCAGATGAACAGCAATCTCAATGTTTGTGTTGTATTTATGATAGAATCTAGTCGTTTGAGTGATTTGTTAGTCGCTAGACGACCTTATATTTATACCTCTACTAAGATGAATGGTTTTGAAATTGTACAAACTTTGTCGAATATCGTGTATGTATAAAGCTTATTTAGTTTGTATTGTTTTCTGAACAGCATGTTCTGTATTTCAGCCTCGAGCGATCCGAGTCGGACAGCGAGGACACCAGTGACGTCTACAAAAAAGCCTGCTACACAGGGTAGGTGGGAGAACCCAGCAGGTAGAAAGCCCACACTTTAATCCCTCCAACAATTAACAAGCTGGGGTATAGACCCGTGGGGGTTCTGACTTGCGTCTTGCATGTCATCGTATTCCAGTTGTTTCGATCGGTGCTCACGTTGTCAACCACTGGGCTGTCTGTCTGTACCAGACTCCGCCATCTTATTACTGGACTACTGCTGAGTGCGGCGTAAAACAACAAACAAACATATCTAATATTTCCAAACAGCAACTGTACTGACAGTATCATCTCATAAAGCTCAGTCCATCAAACGTTAACACTCTCCAGCCACACACAGAATAATGTTACAACAACTGGATTTTACAGAAAGATTTTAAACATTGGCTACATAATCCTTGATTACATGAACCAGCTGTCGTCCTTCCCCTTGATCCTTGTATTGTCAGCCATGTTGGAAGTGGTTGATGACGTGCCGTGTCACGTGTCACCACGTTGAGGTGTGAACCATGTAGATGTATGACGAAGATGTCTGGAAGTGTACAGAGTTTACTTTGTGTTACAGCGACTCCATCACCAACAGAATGCGAGGACCTCTATGACGCCAGCGAAGCCGGGAGCCTGGAGGAGGTGAAGCGGATCCTGTCTCTGGGCGTCGACGTCAATTGTAGGTGGGGAGAGTGGAGCATGACACCGGTGATGAGGGCAGCATACAGGGGACACAGAGACGTGGTGGAGCTCCTGGTGAGTGAAGGGGCCGATGTGTCACTGGTGGACAGGGACGGTGACAACACCCTTCATTTCGCCTGTAGGGGAGGTCACTTGGATACGGTGAAGTTTGTGCTGTCACTGAACGCCGTGGACATCGACGCCAGGGACAACTCGGGGGAGACTGCGGCCGACTGGGCGAGATACTGGGGATATTCGCGAGTGGCGGATCTGCTCGTGTCCCGCGGCGCTCAGTGACGTCAGTGTCGTGTTTGTGTGGACGGTTGGGGGGGGGGGAGGGGGAGGGGGGGAGATCTGACAGTGACGTGGTGTGCCGTTCACGTCGTCGTGTGTAAATATGTCTTTATTTACGTGAAACTGTTTGTTGTTTTTGGAGATGAATAAAACTTGTAAAAGCTTTGTCAGACATTTTGTGTATGTAAGCACCGCACCTCGTGATATGTTCATGCATGTCAATATATATTTCTGTGTTAATTGTACGCAATAAGTTTTTGATTAATAGTGAAAAACACAAAAAAACCTGTTTGTTTACATCTCGCTGCACTCGGTGACCTCAGACCGAGCCGAGGTTCGCCCAGCTGACGTGGCGCCAAATGTACAATGACAGTGACGTCACACTGTCGATGACGTCACGGCATTCCAGCTAAGGTCTAAACACTAAAGCTGCCTTCTGTTTTCTCTGCTAAATGCGATATCGGTAATTCACAGGACATGCAGATACACTCCACAGTTTTGTATACTGTGAACTTTCCGCCATATTAGATAGTGATTACAAAATCACGTTTCACATGTAGCCTACCGGTAATGAGACGCCTGTAACATTACGCGTATTTCAAACTCAGCTGTGATACATACATCCTTGAATTCCTCATACATTTTAGAATCAAATGACACATGGTCTCTGTCACCAATACAAAGTGCCGAGATCAATCAAGCAAAATAAGTTAGGTGTGAAAACAACGCTGTGCTCGAAAAACTGCACTTGTTTGAAATGTAAACAAAGCAAAATACATATTTTACAGTGTAGCATGTTCCCCTTTTTTAGCTATCCATTCGTCTATTCTTTTAGAATATGCATGGGAAGAGAATTATAGGAAGAATTAGGGAATTAAAGATAGATACATTGCTATGCTTTGATATTTTTCAACAGAAATTTCTTGGGAGTGTCAAAGTCAATATTATAAGTTCATATAAACAACTTCCATGAATAGCTGTTTCATTTTATTTTAAAACTAAAACTGAATATATTACCACAACAAAATGGATATTTTGCGTTAAAATATACGCACACATTTCCAGGAGAATTGTCTTGGTCTTGGAATAGTTTTTTTAGGTCGTTTGATAAACATAACAGTGATATCTAAGGATTCGCAGGTGCGCGTTGTCACAAACGATTTACGAATTATTCCTCTCGTTTTGCATTATATAATCAAAATGTTCATCTTTTTCTAAACATTGTGATCACAGGGTATTAAACTGTTTACTTTCTTTCTCCAAGAATTGTAAAAAGTAATTAGGGGAGGTATATATGTATTAATCAAAATACCAGTGTCGTCTTTCTCCGACGCTGTCAAAGATATAAAACCAGCCATGACATCAAATAGAACGGTGTCATGTTTTTAGTATTTCATTACATTTGATCACAAGACTAGTACTCCATTAATAATGGTGCAACATAAGCCAAATTACATTTGCACAGTCAGAAGAATGTTGTTATCTAAGGACTAATTAACAGCTTAGATAGGGCCATTCATTTCGCTATTACTTCTTTTTTTATTAAGTAAGTTTCATCATTTCTTACGGTAATATAAGGGAGTATACAGTTTCAATATCGATATTTGTGTTGGAATAGTTTGGTTACTCGTGAACAAAATACCACGAAAATATACTGTCCTTACCCACAGCTAATTCTCACCAAGTGACCTGAGTTTAAATAAACTGGAGCTAAGCATAACGGAGTTATGCCCCCTTTTCTTTTTTCGTGTTTAACATCTATGTCGCCTTTTGACGTCATAGAGAAAAATCAGTTTTCGTCATTTACGGCAGGCTATTTTTTGCATTGAATGTATGGCAGACAGACAGACAGACACACAGACAATTTATTCAATAAAAGGCCACTGGCCCAAAATACATACATATGCAGGAATACATAAAGCCTGCGCAAAATGACATATTTACAAACTGGGAAAATTTACATTATTTTTTTTTTTTTTATACTTATAAATTCGCAGTGGATTATTTACCCTAAGTTGATGAGATTGGGAAAAAAATAGATATTTTATATAAGGTATCATATGCATCTAAGGAAATAATAGAGATAAAGTTATGCTGAAGGTTAGAGGTAATATATTTCTCTAAAAGTGCATTACGAAGGGAGCTGTAGGATTCACAAATTAATAATAAGTCTTTCTTCATATGGTTAGGCATGGTATCTTCCAGTATTTACTGCTATTGGAAAGTTACTTAAAATCCTTCTTAAGTGAGATGGAAGTGGTGAATTTAAGTAATATTCAACATTTAGTAGCGATTTAAAATGTTTATAGGAATAAGAGTCAGATAAACTGTTCACATTTACACTCCAGGTTTGCTGCAAGTTGTCAAATAGTCTCTGTTTAAACATGGAAATAAAAACAATTTTATCCCCAACTTCTTGTGCTGCCAATGCATATCCAAATCCAAATCTGAATAAAATATTTTTAATGTGTGTGCGACCAGGTGGTGCGACCTGAATCATCCAGAACAGCTAGCATCTTGTAACACTGATATGTGGTAGTCTCTCCGGGCCCAGGTGGTCCAGGTGGTCCAGGTGGTGCGACCTGAATCATCCAGAACAGCTAGCATCTTGTAACACTGATATATGGTAGTCTCTCCGGGCTCAGTTGTATCAGCCTGCACCAGTACTTCACAGCTCTTGTCATATATGTAAGCTGTAAAGGAGCTCTACCACACTCACCAAGCACCATCACATTACATGTATTTCTTGACACTTTAAGAACTAATTTACACACCTTAACTTGAATATCCTCAATGATTTTGCTGTAATTAACATCCCAGATTTCAGAGCCATAGCACAGGATAGGAGTTACAATACTATCAATAATTTTGAATAAATCTTTGCATGGAATATCACCAAGTTTCTTCTGATATCTATTTATTGCAAACACAGCTTTGGGACTCTGAGCAGCTAAACATGTTTGAGCCTGGGTCCACACAAGTTTGGGGGTGAACATAATTCCTAAATATCTGTAAAATGGAACAATATCAATTCTTTCACCATTATATGACCACTTTTCACAACTTCTTAGGGGACCACCATTTCTTAATACCATTACTTTTGTCTGCTTCAGATTGACTTTCATACCAGTTTGTAAACAGAATAAGTGTAGAGCATCAATTTATTTTTGTAGTTGAACTTCTGAATACAGATGAAACATCATCTGCAAACATTATGGCAGAAACATTTTTAAAATCTTGTGATATAAAAACACCTTCTCCTCCGCAGTCTTCAAGTTGAATTAAAAGCTTGTTTATGAATATCATAAATAGTTGTGGACTCAAAATACAGCTCTGCCGGGTGCCAATATTACATTCAAAATAGTCAGTTAGTCCAGTTGAAGCCCTTACACAAGCACACAGACTTGAATTCATTGATGAAATTATGTTGAACAGTTTACCCTTGATCCCAACATCGTGTAGGCTTTTCAGTAGATTATCATGTCTTCTGGTGTCAAATGCCTTTGAAAAGTCAACAAAGAGGCAGTAAAATCTCCCCTTTCTTCTCCCTGCATATTTGTTGTCAATAGTTGAATAATTGGACCTAAATCCTGCTTGTAGTTCATCAATTATGTTATTTCTCTCACAAAAATTCTTAAGTTTCCAGTTTATGATAGAGTAAAATATTTTACACAAGTTATCAATCAAGGATAATCCCCTGCAGTTGTTTACATCATGCTTGTCTCCAGACTTAAAAAGAGGGCAAATGATACTTCTATTCCAAACATTAGGAAACACACCATTGTCAAGTATTTCATTAAAGGGAGCAGTCAATGTAGGTAAAATTATATTTTTTGTATTCTTGAAATATTCAGAGACAATACCATCAGGTCCTTCGCCCTGTTCCACAAAGCGATCTTAGTGCTAAGTCTGTCGTAAGTCTATGTCAAAGTATGGGAGTTACGATCATCTTAGAGCTACGATCGCTTTGCGGAACGGGGCCCTGGTGATTTATTATTTGCAAGCTTTTGGATATGTTGTTCAACTTCTTGATTAGTTTTAGGTTGATTTAATTCTTCATGTGCCGGGGTATCATCAGTTACATAATTATCTGTGTCCATTGGTGGAGGTAAGAGGTCCATTCATCAGTTCTAATTCCAACTAGCAATTGTGATTGTCTCCCTTGCTTTAACAATTTCCAGAATAATTTAGGATTAGCTCTTGATTCAATTAGTTTTTGTTGCTGTTGATTTTGATAAGATTGTCTTTTAAGTGCAAATGTTTTCTTGAGTTTAGATCGCAACTCTCTGAACACACCAATATCTAAACAATAGTCTCTATGTCCTCTCAGGGCACAGTATTTTTCATTCTTTAAGTTTTCAAGTTCACAGTCCCACCAAAGTGGTTGACTGATCTGTCTAGATTTATTATGGGTTGAAGGAAAACAGTAAAGTCTCTTTTGTATAGATGCTGCTTCTTGGTAGACATTCACAAGTCCACAGAGTGCAGTATTAACATCTGTTGAAATTATCTGTTCAATTTCATCTTTGAGGAGGTCATACAAGTCTTTAAACTTGGATTTAAAGACATCTTTATTATCTTCCTTCCATGGGTATTTGTACCAGGGATTAACTTCAAGTTCACTAAGCAGAGAATCATCATTGTACTTGTTTACTTGTACATTACTGCAATCATTATGAGCAAAATTAAACCTACGAAACACTGGGAAGTGATTGATTCATCTGGCTCACCTACTCCAAAGTCAGATATACATGGAATGAGGCTAGGGGAAGCTATCATATAGTCCACAGTACTGGCACCATTGTGTGTAATGCATGTATATTCACCTTGCTTGTCTCTGTGACATCTTCCATTCAATATATGTATACTGAATAATTTGCACAATTCAACAAGTCTCTTACCAAAATTGTTGGTACTTCAAAGCTGTCAGTTGGGTAATTATCAATTTCCTTTTGGATAAAATGAATGTTATCTTCAGGTATGTAATTAAGGAAGGTTTTGGTCCTGGCATTCAAATCACCAACAAGAAAGAGTTCCTTTTCTGGGTGATCATGTACAATCTCTTTCAAATAGTCCTCCAATACTGACATACCATCTCTATCTTTATCCTCATAGATAGGTGAGTTCTCAGGTGATAGATATGTCAGAATCAAGATTGTATCCTT